GGAGGGGTATAGTGAGGAATAGAAATGCAGCTTAGGTGACATGACAGAGCCAGGACCCTCTGCCCAGCCCCCTACATGTTGCTGCACCTGGCCTGGGCTTTGTGAATCATTCCCTCACCTCTAAAGCCTTAGGGAATCTGGGTCTTCTTTATTCTCGGAATGTGTCCCCAGAGGACTCCTGGGTTAATTTCACCAAGCAGAAATATCAAAGACAAAATAATAACAGAATCCTCAGAAATTCAAAAAATCCTTAATGAATATTACAAGAAATTCTATTCTCAGAAATACTAAAATCTGAAGGAAATAGACCAAAACTTGGAAGCACACCACCTTCCTAGACTTAGCCAGAATTAAGTGGAAGTGTTGAACTGGCCTATATCAAGTTCTGAAATAGAATCAACTATACAAAGTCTCTCTAAAAATAAAAGCCTGGGACCAGATGGCTTCACGTCAGAATTCTACCAACCTTTAAAGAGGAACTAGTACCTATATTACTCAACTTTTATAAAATATAGAAAAAGAAGGAATACTACTTAACACATTCTATGAAGCAAACATTACCTTCATCCCCAAGGCAGGAAAAAATCCAACAAGAAAAGAAAATTATAGATGAATATCACTAATGGATACTGATGCAAAAATATTCAACAAGCTCATAACAAACAGAATCCAGCAACACATCAAACAAATTATACACCAAGACCAAGTGGGTTTTATCCTGGGTCTCAAGGCTGGTTCAATATAAGTAAATCTACAAATATAATTCATCACATAAACAAAATAAAAAACAAAGACTATATGATTCTCTCAACTGATGCAGAAAAAACTTTTGATAATATCCAGCATCGTTTCATGATCAGAACAAGAAAATTAGTATAGAAAGGACATTTCTTAAATGATAGAGGCCATCTACAGCAAATCCACAGCCAACATCGTATTGAATGGAGTTAAATTGAAATCATTTCCACTCAGATCAGGAACCAGGCAAGGTTCCCCTTTGTCCCCACTGCTTTTCAACATTGTAATGTAAGTCTTAACCATCACAATTAGTCAAGAAAAGGCGATCAAGTGTATCCATTTAGGGTTAGAGGAGATCAAAGTTTCACTCCTTGCAGATGATATGATTGTATATCTGGAAAACACCAGGGACTCCACTACAAAACTCTTGGAAGTGATCAATGAATACAGCAGCATCTCAGGTTACAAAATCAACACTCATAAATCTGTAGCCTTTTTATATGCCAACAATAGTCAAGGTGAAAAACAATCAAGGACTCTATTCCATCCACAGTAGTGCCAAAGAAGATGAAATATTTGGGAGTTTACCTAACAAAAGACGTGAAAGATCTCTATAAAGAGAACCATGAAACTCTAAGAAAAGAAATAGCTGAAGATGTTAAAAAATGGAAAAACATACCATGCTCATGGTTGGGAAGAATCAACATTGTTAAAATGTCCATACTACCCAAAACAATATACAATTTTAATGCAATCCCTACTAAAGTTCCACTGTCATACTTTAAAGATCTCAAAAAATAATACTTCTTTTTATATGGAATCAGAAAAAACCTCAAGTAGGCAAGACATTACTCAGAAATAAGAACAAATCAGGAAGAATCATGCTACCGGACCTCAGATTGTACAACAAATAAATACTGATCAAAAATGCATGATACTGGCTTGGCACCTGTGGCTCAAGCAGCTAAGGTGCCAGCCATATATGCCTGAGCTGGAGGGTTCAAATCCATCCTGGACCCACCAAACAACAATGACGGCTGCAACCAAAAAATAGCCAGGCGTTGGGGCAGGCACCTGTAGTCTCAGCTACTTGGGAGGTGGAGGCAGGAGAATTGCTTGAGCCCAGGAGTTAGAAGTTGCTGTGAGCTGTGATGCCACAGCACTCTACCCAGGGTGAAAGCTTAAGGCTCCATCTCAAAAAAAAAAAAAATGCATGATACTGGCACAAAAACAGAGAGGAACATGTATGGAACAAAATAGAGAATTAAGAGATGAACCCAGCTACTTACCACTATTTGATCTTTGACAAGCCCATTGAAAACATTCAGTGGGGAAAAGACTCCCTATTTAACAAATGGTGCTGGGTGAACTGTCTGACAACTTCTGTCAGAAGACTGAAACTGGACCCACACCTTTCACCATTAACTAAGATAGACTCTCACTGAAGTTAAGATTTAAACTTAAGACATGAAACTATAAAAATACTAGAAGAAAGTGCAGGAAAAACACTTGAAGAAATCAACTTGGGTGAATATTTTATGAGGAAGACCCCCCGGGGCAATTGAAGCAACATCAGAAATCCACTACTGGGATCTGATGGCAGTTAAAAGGTTCTGCACAGCCAAGAACACAGTAAGTAAAGCAAGCAGACAGCCCTCAGAATGGGAGAAGATATTTGCAGGTTACGTGTCCCACAAAGGTTTAATAACCAGAATCCACGGATAACTCAAACATATCAGCAAGAAAAGAACAAGTGATCCTATCTCAGGGTGGGTAAGGGACTTGAAGAGAAACTTCTCTAAAGAAGACAGCCAGCCTACCAACACATGAAAAAATGGTCATTATCTTTAATCATCAGAGAAATGCAAATCAAAACCACTTTGAGAGATCATCTAACCCAAGTAAGATTAGCCCACATCACAAAATCCCAAAACCAGAGATGTCGGCATGGATGTGGAGAAAAGGGAACACTTCTGCACTGCTGGTGGGAATGCAAACTAATATGTTCCTTTTGGAAAAATGTTTGGAGATCACTTAGGGATTTAAAAATAGTCCTGCCAATCAATTGTTTAATTCCTCTACTAGGTATATATGCAGAAGACAAAAAAATCACTTTATAACAAAGATGTTTACACCAGAATGTTTATGGCAGCCCAATTCATGATTGCTAAGTCATGGAAGAAGCCCAAGTAAGTGTCCATCAACCTATGAGTGGATTAATCAATTGTGGTATATGTACACCATGGAATATTATGCAGCCTTAAAAAAGATGGAGACTTTACCTTTTTCATGTTTACATGGATGGAGCTGGAGCATATTCTTCTTAGAATATGTTACTTTTTAGCAAAGTATCTCGAGAATGGAAGAAAAAGTATCCAATGTACTCAGCCCTACTATGAAACCAATTTATAGCTTTCAAATGAAAGCTATAACCCAACTATAGCCCAAGAGAAGCGGGAGGGAGGGGAGGGAGGGGAGGGGAGGTGGGAGGAAGTGTGAAGGGAGGGTAATTGGTAGGAACACACCTACAGTGCATTTTACAAGGGTACATGTTAAATTTACTAAGTGTAGTGTATAAAAGTCTTAATAAAATAACTAAGAAAATGTGGTGAAGGCTATGTTAACCAGTTTGACGAAAATATTTCAAATGGTATATAAAACCAGCACATTGTACCACATGATTGCATTAATGTATACAGCTATGATTTAATTTAAAAAAAAAAAAACTGAAAGACAGCTTGTCTGAATGCCAGAAAGGGGAAAGGGGAAAGGGAGGGGAGGGGAGGGGGGAGGATGGGTGAAGAGAATGATATTGTGGGGATCACGCCTATAATTTATCCTATTAGGGTACATGTGAATTTGTCTAAAGGTCGAATATAAATGTCTTAACACAGCAATTATGAGAAAGACATGATGGCTATGTTAGCCAGTTGGATGAG